TTGTTAAGTTCAGCTTATTTCACAGTAGCTCCGTTTTTTGAACATCCACTAAAATCAACCTATTGCCTAATTGCGATCCTTGTTACCATTCCTATATATTACATTTTCATAAAATACAAGAAAATACCAAAGTTTGTATCAAATTGTTTTGGTAAGTATGCAAAAATAAGTGTTTTTTTTTTTATTTTGCTGTAAATATTATCAGTTTACTACTAAACATACTGCAAAAACTACTTGCACATTTTTTAACATTAAATATATTTTTTTTTTTTTCTTTTTATTTATTTGAGTTTTCATGCTATATTTTTCTATACAATGTTCTTATATCCGAAGATATTGTTGGCTTAGCATAAGAACAGCCACAAATAGTCATTAAGTCTAATCCAAAGTCGCGTCCGTTATTGACCAACATTTTTGCGTACTGAAGTACTGAGTTGGCAGTGGCGGGATTTGAACTTGTATCGTTCAACAGTCCGGGTTTTCACTTTTCCTTTAACGCTCTAACCATCTGAGCTATCCCGCCACAAATAAATTTGTTTATAACTGATTAAATATTAGTTCATTTTTTGATTAAATAAGTTCAACTCTAATTTTCGCTTTTTAAACTTTCGTTGATTACTTTTAGAAAATTTATATAAAAATATGTTACAAATATTTATTTCAGGTAGTTTTGCGTCAATGTTAGAAAAGTTAAACATGGGCTATCCAACAGAAGAGCTTAAAGAAAAAATTTATTTTAAAAGAAGTGCAAAGGAAGAGATGAATATGCAACCAAAAAGAGAAGCTAATTATTTTTCATACTGTCATGAACAACTATTCGAGTTTGAGTTATAAAAATCGCCATACAATAAAAGATTATAAACGAAATTGAAACATTCCAATAACTTTTGACATATTGATTTTTTAGTGTCAACAGAGCATCACTTTCATTTTTGTTTATCGCTTATATAATATTTGTGGAATCAGGTGTATGACAATGTAAGGTTCAAAGTTTATATTCAAACGTTTAGATTTAAAAAATATGGATTGTCACTTTTATATCTCATGGTTGAAATTATATATTTACTGAATTTAGTGAAATATTAAAATTACATATATTTAAATTGTCTTATTTTTATTAAAAATGTAAGTTTCGTATGAACATATAGTAATACTTATAACCATGTTATGCTTATGAAAGCAGTTTTTTTATTACTTTTGCAATTAATAGTATTGTTTTATTGGTAGCAGGAAAAAATCCACCGGGAAAAGATCCCCCGGAAAAACTCCGCAGGAAAAACTCCCCCCGAAAAAATCCCCTACAAAAAATCCTCCCGGAAAAAATCCCTCCGAGAATAAATCCCCCGAAAAATACCCCCCAAAAAAATAAATTTAGTTAAAAATTAACAATAAAATAGTTATATTTATTTTAAAAAGTTTTATAAAATCCTTAACTTTTTATCAAAATGTCAAGTTATGCGCTATTCCTCAGTTGTCGGTAAAATGCGAACTGCGCAACGCGAGCTGTGAACCGGTAAAATGCGACTTTTTTGCGAAACAAAACTATATTTGAAAGACCATTATTTTTATGATAAAAGTAATAATAATAAAAAACTTTCCAATTCTTAATTATCTATTTTAATGTTTTATTTAAAATAAATTTTTTATTTTTTAACTGTAAAACATCCGCGGAGTGTTGCTACATTGACTATCTTATAGCCTGACTCCCAACGGAGTGCTGCTACATCAATTGAGGGTTTGGTTTGGGCAGGCAGTCTATCAAATATATATATATATATATATATATATATATATATATATATATATATATATATATATATATATATATATATATATATATATATATATATATATATATATATATATATATATATATATATATATATATATATATATATATATATATATATATATATATATATATATATATATATATATATATATATATATATATATATATATATATCCATATAGTGTAGTCAAAAGAGCGTTTTAATGTAAAAAAAGTCTCTTACGACTACAATTTTAATTACCTCGTCTCTTAAGCTGTTTTTAATTGGCATCGAAATGTCAAAGCAATTAATTTATGCGGAAGTACATTAAATTTAATTGTTTTTTAAAAAATTTTTAAAAAACCGCAATTATAACAACTAGAAAGTTTTTTTTAATAAGTGATTGATTTAATAAAAAACATTTTTAAAACATGCGTAAATGTTGCTACATCGACTGACAAATAGCCTGACTCGCAACGGAGTGCTGCTA